TAATGTACCTGTGTGTAACTTTTGGTAAAATAAAATATGTCGATCATGTCGGATTACATGTAGAATGAATATCAGAAAAGTCAGTGTTCAGATTTATAATAGACACATTTCACAATTACTTTGAAATTTGGTGATGCAACATCTAACTTTCACTTCATTTGTATCTTTTCAGTTTTTGAAGGAAAAAGAGGTCAGAACACGGAAAACACCCACTATTACGCCGGAAAATACCCCTGCTGTTCATGTTGTAACACCGGAAACTCCTTCATCTCAGTCCCATCAGAAGAAAGCCCTGCAAGCCTCTACCTCGACACATACATGCACCCAGTCATCAGACTCAGTAGACAGAATCCCTGCTGTGCCTACTTCCACAAGGTATTAATGTTGTTAATCTTAATTTTATTTGTATAGTCAAATGCATATGATTTTGACTTTAGGGACATTGTCTGAAGGATCAAGTTTAAGCTTATGCCATGGTGTGTTGTCGATTGTCTGTGTGTCCACGTTTTCCTCAAATGACTTCTACGTTTTACTAGGTACATTTTGATATGCTCACATATATTTGTTGCATATTATTGTATGACACTGTCCACAATATCTATGCACTCCTTGCTTGGATTCTTATTATACTTCACAGAATTGTTTCCCATGACCAAGGATGTGTCACAACCTAACACAGGGTCATATCTCGAAGGTCGTGAATCAGTGACATCTACAAAGTGTGTCTGGGCCATAGCATATTGTTATCATAGTGTCATGGCCATGATCCTAGGATATATCACACATTTGTATGATACAGGTGTGGTATGTACCTGTTCAATGGTGTCTATTGTTCTGAACTTGGTACACATATTCATGTCATGGCCCTGCCTATGTGTTGATCATATTTCCGGGTTTTCATGTGTGCTGTTCAGGCCCATTAGACCTTTTGTTATATAACAATACATTCACATTTAGTAAGTTGTGTATTTTGAAAAACAAATACATTTATATTTATTTGTAAATAATTGTTTTTGTAGATCAAGTAGATCCCAGCGAAATCAAAGGATATAATTTGTTGGGAGGCGGATTTCACATGAGTGGATAGACGGCCAAAAGAAAGTATGGTACAATGGAACTGTGACATGTACTTTGTCTGGGAAAGATGGTGATTCTGCGGCAGTTTAAGAAGTCATGTATGAGGAAGATGATGAACCATGCCAAGTAGATCATCTTCTGGAAGACTACAGATCTTCTTCTGTGAAATTCATTGATTTATAGCTGGTAAATGCTTCATAAAATATTGTATATAGCTATACTGAACCAGTACTTATCTTCCTTTTCCAAATGGTTTGTAGTGTTGATATGGTTTAAATCATATATATGTAACAGATTTATTAGATGGGTAGGAGATATCAGCACTTCATTAACACTTTTTAAAAGAGGCGTTTCACTTTAAAGGGTATCATGGCATGCTTTTTGCTGTAATACTACATATTCATGTATGTCCACATCACAATGACAGCAAAACTGGGGTTTTACAAAATGTAGCATGTCACAGAGTACAACTCTCTTTGAAGAAAAGACTCAGAAGAAGAGCAAGCAGTATTATTTGACAATATTTGTTATTTGTAAGTAGTTAAAAAGAAACTTTGGTATTCAGTAGGCTTATACTAAATACTGTGATAAATCTGTGATTATTATGCAATTGAAATCTGTGATCATATGTGATATTTGTACCTGTATCTTGCTTTTACCGAATAAATATTATTAAAATATTATTATTTATTTATATATCTTAAAAATGTGGAAAATAAATATTATTATTATTATTATTATTTATGATTTGAATAACTGTACTGCATTGTATCGGGTGCCTCGGTAGCCGTGATCGTTAACGCGCACAGTCGTTGTACTACTGTGTGCTATCAAGCGTGAGCTTCAGACCAATCACTCTCCCAAGAATTTCGGTTCGATCCCCAGCGGTGGTGGAAAAAAGCGAGTGATGTCTAATTGGGTTAGAAATTGAAATTTTTTCCTGTATTTTACTGAAAATATGTACAGTCAGAAATGAGGTAATGATATTTTTTTTCTGTTATAGTCAGTTGCTATTTCTTTTTCTTACAGAGTGCATGTATATGTGCAAGAAAAGGGGGAAAGTCACATGCAAGGATCTGATTACTCTCTATGTTTATGGTAAGTACATGTTACTGGTGCTTGTGTATTCCATATATATTTAGATAAATGCATTTGGTTATGTTTATTTACACACAAAATTTATAAATAGAAACTTCCACAAACCCGAACTGTCATATTGGTCATAGTCATCATGACCTTTTAATACTGCAATACATATATATTTATTTTCTTTTGGTTTCCAGAATATTTATACTCAGAAGAACCCTTTCTTCTCTTGTGATGGTTTGGCTGATGAATATGGTGCACTTATTTTTGAGAGTATGATATATAAGGTACACTTTATATATTAAATCTAGTACTAGTAATATTGTATATATGCATGTATTTATTAAATAATTCTTCATTTATTGAAGCATTATAATTGTTTTCAAAAAGTTTCATTAAATAAAAGGAATGTTCTTGATATTTACTGCAAATAAAAAAAAAATGACCTTAAACATTTGTATAAAAGTAGTTCCAAAATAAATGTAAGTGTTATTTCCCTTAGATAGGGTCAAACATGGCCTCATCTGACATGATATACCCAATTTCTCTAACCTCTAAAAACTAATATAATAATTCCATAGACTTAATTATTTGCTGCAATTGTATAACAGATGATTCAGGGTTTGTGTTTCTTTCATGAATTTTCACATTTAAGAATGGAAATTAAAGAAAATTTGCATAACCTTCCAAAGGTAATCTTAGAAGCGTTCGAAATTTGCCTCTGAACTATTGAAAATAAGCCACATTTATCGTAATCAAGTGGCTTCATCTTTAATATCATTGCATATTTGCTGAATTATTTCATAACAGACACTTATTACAATTTATTAAGATGGGTCCATACTTATCAAATTAAGCAGCAATGGGCAGAACGTTTCGCATTTTGACTACATTTCAGAACGATTTACGGTTATCTAACAACGTTTGCATTTTAAAGTGTCATTAACAATATTTTTTGTCACATCTTGCACATCATTAAGAAGAAAGCAATCGACCTCAATACTTCACTTTTTTCCCAATCATAAAAACATAATTCTTTGGTATTACCGGTGCCTTAACAATGCATTGGTTGTGTCTGTATTACTGGTCACCCGTCATACACCTACTAGTTCTAGATTGTCTGAGTAAGTTGTTATATGTAAATACTTCTGTGTGTAGTTCAGTATTTCTTTAAATTATTGTTAAAACTAATACGAGAAAGTCGATTTACTCTTGATAATATTGTAACACCATATATGAGAGTAGAAATACTTTTTTTTATATTATCGTCATGACAAATGTGGAAGTAGAGATACTTTGCCAACTTTGTTGGTTTTTCATTTGCCGTTGAACTGAACTAGAAAATAAAAGCAAACCAAGTTGACATAACGAGTCTGTTAATACATGTAAGTCAGTATTATAATTCAATATTGTATAACCTGTTTGCGAGTCTGTGTGCTCATTTTGCGTTTTGTTCTTAGGTAAGTTTTCGTGCGAGGAGACAGAACCTGGGTGTACAAGATATATTTATTATTACTTTCTGAAATGTGACTTAATTTGGATATTATGTTCTTAAAGTAAAATTATTTTTATTTTGTTAGGTAAGCAACACTATCCAATCCCTTTTTTTTAATGAATTGCGTTGGCGATCGACGAATTGAAAACATATTTATGCTTGTCATAATTGTTTGATTTGTTTAATCGTGAGAGTGCAAGATATGATAACGGCTAAGTTTGTTTTGAAAGTTATACTACACACTTTTAAGATATGTTACGAATTATACCGTGATAGCGTTTATTTTTATATTTGTTTAACATGTATTAAGAATATATGCTGCCTTTCTGTGACATTTTCTTCCCAATCATGTCCATAAACCCCCCACTTGTTTACATATATACAGACTCTTTTACTTCCACTGATGTATTGTAACAAATTATGTATCATTAACCGTAATAAACAACACATTGAAAAACTCCTTAATGTAGCATTTTGTCATTATCTAGCTTTGAAAATTGTCACTTTTTTATTTATATTTTATTTACTTCAGTCAATTTTCCGTAATAACTTTCCCGATCTGCGAAAACTATTTCACGACAGGAAAATGTCACGCCACAACAGCATTGTAATTATTGTAATTTTCAGAAACAACACGTTTTGGTCATGTCTATTTCAAAGCAGCAATGTTCAAGGCAAACCGCCCCCAATGTTATAGATTTATGTGATAATGTCCGTGAATCGACGTTTAGTACATTGCAGTCTTGAAAGAAAGGTATGTACGAAGAAAGTATTTATTTCAAGAGATAGTGAATTTTGGAAAAGTTTGCTTCGAGTAACATTGTAAATATTAGTAAATTATATATACTTATCAATGGCTTGAAAATCAAATTACATCTTGACAAATTGTCCCCTGATTCAAAATCACCCAGTTTACAACGAATGCACAATAAACACGTTTTCCAATCAATTTTTCCCGATACGTATCACTCTTGTTGGTCGATTTGGAAGCGCGGTGGTCTTAATGTATGAGGTTACTGGAGTACAAATGTACTAGGAGAAATTCCACGCGACAGGTTACTGACTCCTGACCTTTCCCCGTCCGATTGGGTAATTGAACCCCGTCCGCCTTATTGAAAGCCGATTGTGCTATTATACATTATCAACCGACTACGCATATACAATTTTCGTTGGATAATTTTAAAATCGATTGGAAAGTTAAGCAAGATTAGAATAACCAAGCATCATCAAACAGTTCGATACAATAAAATAAATAAACAGTAACTGTAGGAATATTGACCCCCCCCCCCCCGCCCCTTAAAGTATATTCACCATTCATTCACAGTAACAACAGTTTGCTTACCTTTGTACGATTTTCTTCTGTCCATGTTATGCTAGGTCCAGTGCGAAACCCGTAGGATGTCAAATCCAGTCCTGTCCCCTAACCATACGAATGTGTCTTGTATTTAAGAAAAAGGTTGATACCTTTCTGGGTGTGTCTATTTTTAGTGTTAATAGGTATCCTTTGAAGCATATGATGTAGTTCCCAGTCACTTGTTCTCTCAAATAGCGATAGTCATGCTCTATTCAGGGGCGTTTCTAGGATATTTGAAAGAGGGGGCGTAGACTCAAATCTTTCGGCGAGCGAAGCGAGGCGAAAAATCTTTTGGACCTTTTTTTTTGCTAAAATATCCTTTGCGTAGTTTTAGAGTTTAAGATTTACCTATTTAGAAACGTGAACATAATTGAAACTGAAGCAGTTTTGTATACATTTTATTTTAGATCAACAAATACTTTGACTTTACGAGTATATAATCTATACACCTCAAACTGTACATTTTCGACTCAAAGAAAACTTGGAATAAGCATTGATTTTGATAGTATCATATGTCTTGCCTATTCATTGCACGACTGTAACAAGATACAGTATCATGTAAAAGACAATGTTAACACAAACTATATAAGTTTTACTTGAGATAGCGTTTCTCATGACGTATTTGTATTTTCAAACCAAACCTCACTGCATTAGCATGTATAACAGGGTACATATTAGTTACTGTACATTACTCTATGCTATATCCACAGATTCAGCCTTATTGATTTGGTACAACGTGGTGGACTCTGCTTGTGGATTGTTTTAGTCGCCGAGGTGGGCTGTAACCTTGATAACCACATCTGTCTTTTCGCACAGTGAAACAGTTCATAATATACACTCTTTACATATTATTTATTTTTAAAATAACAAGTACCCATTTAAAGTTTTATATTAGTTAATTAAGGGGTATAGGCACGTGCACCTTTGTTTCAACAGAAGTTAAGACAATTTGGATTGCCCACTTTTTGTACCACACCATCGCCGATGAGTCATAGACAGACTCAAAAGTCGTATTACGCAGCTCAGTATAATTTTTTTGGCATACTGTATCTATGACTAAATATTCAAGGCACAATCACATGTGTGTGTGTGTGTTACATTAATCATAGCAAACATAGGCTGTTGAGTGTTCGGTCAGATGCATTTTTGCTGAGGGGTACGCTGGTATCACTTCATTCATCTCGGCTTTTTACGTTATGGATGTTAACACAGGTAAATATACACAAATCTCCATTTACAAGTCATGAGACAAGATCATGCTTCATTATTTACTCGTTGAGACAAGTCGCTCAATAACATCGTGAATCCAGAAAGAGTGACATATTTAATAAATATGTTCGTTCTCTAACACTACACAGTCAATACTGCCTTTACTGTATAATTGTCAGACCTGAGCGGAACAGTAGTTTACACTATAGTAAAAACACAATATACCAAAGCTCCAACGGACAAGGTTTCAATATACCTCACCGTCAACACACAAGGACAAAACACACCATATTGTAAACAGACAAAAGTACGATCAACTTCACCGTCAACATACAAGGACAATATACACCATAACATCAATGGACAAAGATACAATATATCTTACCGTCAAAACACAAGGACGAACTATACCATGACATCAACGGCCAAAGATACAATATATCTTACCCTCAAAACGCAAGGACGAACTATACATGACACCAACGGACAAAGATACAATATATATTTTACAGTCAGTGGTGGGTACGTAATATATAACACGGTATATGTACATTAGTCAGTGGTGGGTATATATTATATAACACGGTATAAGTACATTAGTCAGTGGTGGGTATATATTATATAACACGGTATATGTACATTAGTCAGTGGTGGGTATATATTATATAACACGGTATGAGTACATTAGTCAGTGGTGGGTATATATTATATAACACGGTATAAGTACATTAGTCAGTGGTGGGTATATATTATATAACACGGTATATGTACATTAGTCAGTGGTGGGTATATATTATATAACACGTATACGTACATTAGTCAGTGGTTGGTATATATAATATAACACGGTATACGTATATTAGTCATTGGTCGTTATGTATTATATAACATGGTATACGTACATTAGTCATTGGTCGTTATGTATTATATAACACGGTATACGTACATTAGTCAGTGGTTGGTATATTTTATATAGCATGGTATACGTACATTAGTCATTGGTCGCTCTGTATTATATAACACGGTATACATACATTAGTCAGTGGTGGGTATGTATTATATAACACGGTATACGTACATTAGTCAGTGGTTGGTATATTTTATATAGCATGGTATACGTACATTAGTCATTGGTCGCTCTGTATTATATAACACGGTATACATACATTAGTCAGTGGTGGGTATGTATTATATAACACGGTATACGTACATTAGTCAGTGGTCGGTGTGTATTATATAACACGGTATACGTACATAAGTCAGTGGTCGGTATGTATTATATAACACGGTATACGTACATTAGTCAGTGGTTGGTATATCTGATATAACACGGTATACGTACATTAGTCAGTGGTTGGTATATATTATATATAACACGGTATACGTACATTAGTCATTGGTCGTTATGTATTATATACCACGGTATACGTACATTAGTCATTGGTCGTTATGTATTATATAACACGGCATACGTACATTAGTCAGTGGTTGGTATATTTAATATAACATGGTATACGTACATTAGTCATTGGTCGGTATGTATTATATAACACGGTAAAGGTACACTAGTCAGTGGTCGGTATATATTATATAACACAGTATACGTACATTAGTTAGTGGTTGGTATATATTATATAACATGGTATACGTTCAATAGTCAGTGGTTGGTATATATTATATAACACGGTACACGTACATTAGTCATTGGTCGGTATGTATTATATAACACGGTAAAGGTACATTAGTCAGTGGGTGGTATATATTATATAACACGGTATACGTACATTAGTCAGGGTGGTCGGTATATATTATATAACATGGTATACGTACATTAGTCAGTGGTCGGTATGTATTATATAACACGGTATACGTACTTCAGTCAGTGGTTGGTATATATGATATAGCACGGTATACGTACAGTAGTCATTGATGGGTATGTATTATATAACACGGTATACGTACATTAGTCAGTGGTCGGTTTATATTATATACCACGTTATACGTACATTAGTCAGTGGTGGGTATGTATTATATAACATGGTATACGTACATTAGTCATTGGTCGGTATGTTTTATATAACACGGTATACGTACATTAGTAATTGGTTGGTATATATTATATACCACGTTATACGTACATTAGTCAGTGGTGGGTATGTATTTTATAACACAGTATACGTACATTAGTCAGTGGTTGGTATATATTATATAACACGGTTTACGTACATTAGTCATTGGTCGGTATGTATTATATAACACGGTATACGTACAATAGTCAGTGGTTGGTATATATTATATAACACGGTTTACGTACATAAGTCATTGGTGGGTATGTATTATGAAACACGGTATACGTACCTGACAACAGACAATTTGAATCTGAAATTGAACATTGCGCGGAGTTCAATTCTGAGCAGGTACAAAATTAGAACAAAACGAAGGGCAGGTGCGAACAGGTTATTGTTTCTTAAACAAAAACAGTTGTACAGTGTAAAGCGAGTGTCAGTTGATAAGCCATTTCAGTTTGTTATAAGCCGTGTGTCATCAACATCATATGACGGGTATAAGCTTATGAATCTGAATTTATTACAACAGCATATGACTAATATTACGTTGCATGTTGCCAAATGTGAACACTTGAAGCAGATTGTTGCTAAAGACCAGACACCCATTACAATTTTAACTGAAATTAAGACGCTTGGTCTTGCTAGTGTACTGGAGGCAGAGTGTCAGGGGTGTTAGCAGAAATTCAGGTTGGATACTAGCCCTAAAATTTCTAATGGACGCACAAACCATTACGATGTGAATATAAGAGCGATATGGGGAAGTATGGTAACAGGTGGTGGAGTGGCTCACCTGAATGAGACCTTGGCTACGTTAAGTTCACCAGGATTATCCCAGCAAACCTGTTCAACAATAGAACAGGAAATTGGTAACTAGCAATCCAAGATGATTTGTTGGCTGCAGGTGCAGAAGAGAGACGGATTGCCATGGAGAAGGGTCACTACCATGAAAGGGTTCCTTGCATAACTGTTATATGCGATGGTGGATGGAGTAAAAGGTCCCATAAGCATTCATATAATGCATTTGGGGGAGTGGCTGTCATCATTGGCGCTGACACGGGTAAGCTGCTACACATCGGTGTGAGAAACAAGCATTGCTACATTTGGAGTCACGCAGAGGTAGAAGGTACACAGGCCAGGCCACACAGATGCTTTAAGAACTGGACTGACAGCTCACAGGCTATGGAATCGGACATAATTTTGGAAGGTTTCCAGCAGGCAGTGAAAATCCATGAGCTAAGATATAGTAAAGTTATCGCTGATGGGGATTCATCAGTATTTGCCACGATCCAGGAAAATGTTGTAGGTTGGGGTAAAGATGTACAGAAATTAGAGTGTGACAACTATGTATGTAAATGTTTGCGAAGCAGTTTGGAAAAACTCGTTGACACTGTTCCAATGTACAAAGGCAAAAACGGCCTCACAGAGTTAGACTCACAAGTGCAGTAAGGTGTGCGATTCGTTTGCGATCAAAGGAACCAGATAAGAAGTCTGCATTGAAGCAGCTTGATCATGATATCAGAAACTCTATTTTTCATATTTTGGGCAATCATGAGAAGTGTTCAGATTCCTGCAGGGCTAAAAACATCTACCAAATCCAATTGAGCTACATGTACCTCAACACCAAGAACAGATAAAGAGACGGCAGGCAACAGTGAGGATTCTTTTGCTGATTCTATACCAGGTATCATAGAGGCAATTTTAACAGTAGGGGCAGATTGCCCATCTTTTGACGCATAGGAGGAATCAAGAGAAGAATCAGACACCATTGTGTGTGACATTAACTATATGCTGCTGAGAGATGTTAACATCCTTCTGGATCATGTTGCTATGAAAAGTAACCGCCTGTTAGGAAATTCCACAACAAATTTAGCTGAATCAT